TCCAAAACCGCCAAGGATGGCGCAGTGCAAGGACGATCGCTCGTTGCCTACATCACAAAACTCAAGGTGTCAAAGTTTCACAGGCTCTACAAGAAGGCTTGGAGACAGGAGATGTTTGCTCTCGCAAAGGCCCAACGCATTATCACTACTGACGAAAAGTCGCCTCGCTTTTGGGAATTTTCGCTCGTGTTCGACCCAACATTAATTGTTCAACGCGCCGAGCCGTTGACTTGGATGTGGCGAACGGCATCCGAATTCTTCGCTAATCCTGCTATCATTCCTCACATTGTGGGGGAATTTGAGCGACTAAAACGAGAGCTATAAATAGCCAAAGCTCAGTCCAAGTTTCCACCAAAACAAGGTTGGAACCAGACCAAACTTCTCCGTTATTTACACACAACAACAATCTTAATTTATGACTTCTGCGCTGCCCATCAGAAGTGGCCACCAACCATGGGCTCAAATGACAAAAGATCACAAGAGATGGCTTTGAAATCGACAAGGACTGCACCTGAGCACGCTCAGGAAGGTCTGGAGGCAACAACCCGCTCGAATTCTACCACCCTATTGACGGTTGACCTTGTGAAGGACAACCCCTGTGAATGCAAATTCTCCATGTTGTACAGCATATTTGTCTTGTTTCTTTCTCTGGAAAAGATACAGCAGACCGATCTTCTTGGTCTACCCTTCCAAATCCCCACCAACAGAGTGGGAGCGCCAATCTGCCCATTGACAGATGACTTGAGAGAATTGCATTCAATTCTTTCCTTGGAAAAGGTACCCACAAAATTTGTCTGTATCCCAGGAGAAATCCTTGCATCTTGTTTGTACTTCCCCACCAACAGAAATCCTTGCATCTTGTTTGTACTTCCCCACCAACAGTGGGAGCGCCAATTTGTCCCCTGACATGATCGACTAGAGCAACTTTTTTCTTGAAAAATGCCTCAATGTGGCTCAAACTTATCTGACTGAAAGCAGCATAGTTCCTAGCCTCTACAGCCGTATTACACCGGCAGTTGGATACTCTAGAAGTAGCATAAAAACCAATTAATGATTCAGTTATATATATATATATACATACACCGATGAGTCCAGTGAATGAGAGCATGTCCCATTGCTGCCAATGGTGATTGTCACAATGGCAGGAGTGTGTTGGGATATGACAAAATATGAGTTTTTACGTTCCAAAAGAAACTATTCAAGTACAAAGTTTTCGACATGTGCGATCGGACTTTGATCGTGATGTCGGGATTCGACGCAAGTCTGCCCGACGCAAGTCTGTCGGACAATCTGTATCCACACAAACAGGAAAAGATCCTGTACAAGTGGAATATTGATGTTGTGTACGATGCAGTAGGGAATAATGCAAGATATCCCAAAGTACTGCATTCAACACAGAATTGTCGTAGAAGTCGAATCGAGTTCTGTAAACAAGGGATTTTCCAAGGGAAAATCGTCGAACTCACTTTTGTGATTGAAACATCAATTCAAGCCAAACATTAATCAAATAGGAACAATTTCACTCAAAGTATACCTAGACACAGGAGAACTATTGTCGTGAAAGTGTTGTACAGTCGATTACGAATTTGGATTGCAGAGAGTTTGTTCTGAGCGCTAAAGGCACTCACGATAGAGCACATTTTGCTTTTATTCTAACAACTCTACAATACTGAACCTCACACCGATCCAAACTCCGTTCGATCACGCACCGGGAATGTTGTAAAGTTGAGCAATTGCCCACTGATTTGGCGCTCCCACCTACAAGCATCCATCACTTGCTCCACCTTTGAGGCCAAATACAATGCTCTCTCTTCTGCTCTAAAGACTTTAATTCCATTGAAGCGACTTCTCATTGAAGCCACCGACCACGTTGAACTTGACGACGGAATGCGTGCCACCATCCGGGCTTCAGCATTTGAAGACAACCAAGGAGCATACTTCCTGGCCACCAACCAAAGAATCACATCTCACACTTGATGGTATCTCAACAAGTGGCACTGGTACTGTTGCCATGATCCACGAGTTGGACACATCACTCCAAGATGCTGATTACTTCACAAAGGCACAGTCTTGTGAACCTTTCGAGAGCAATTGCTTTCAAGTGCAAGGGTGGTAACACCTTTGCACAACCACCCTAACCCTTGTACATTTGCACCGAGCAGAGAGACGTAGACAACTCCGGTTGTTGAACTCGCCTGCTCACCAGTGAGATGCAACATCTTTACAGATCTATTTGTTTCGCAAATTCCAGTGATGACGTTTTGTGTTGAAGTTTCGGATGAGAGGGAGAGTCGAAAGTCGTCTGTTTGTCCATCAGATGATAGCATTTACTGAACGTCAGCACCCCAACGGCTAACGTATCCAAAGTATCTTATACAGGTATCAAGATTCCCAATCTTGACTACAATGCTCCTTTGCTAAACTTCGCCACATTCTTAACGTTGTTAAGACTAAGCATCGCTATTGCATGCGTTGAGATGGTCGGAGTTTCATCCTGTTTACATCCTTCACACCACAAAATCACTATAGTTTTCAGAATACTGTTTTATCACACATTTTCGGACATTTTGTAACTATTTCAGTACTTGAAGCACGACAATCGCATGCAATCAAGCTACAGCTTTGAGTGGTACTGTATTTTCTATTTAGAAACTTTATCTGACTTATCCGACTACCCGACGCCAGCAAACGTCAGCACTTGTCGCACCCGAAGATCCATCATGCATGCATGAGCGAGGAGTGGTGGTACCTGGCAATCTTCGATGCTACAACCCTACAACTTTAGTCAGTGGTTTTCGATCTCAATATCGAAATGTCTAAGCTCTTCGCCTCAATCGCCATTCTCATGGCAGCGACACTTCCTCACTACGCGAGCTCCTTCTCCTTAGGTGGCAGGACGACTGTTATGTCGCAAAGAAGCCAGCTCTTGACCACTTTGGGAATGTCTGACGACTTCATTCAAGAAACCCCTAAGATAACCGAAGGAAGGATTCAGGAGTTGGTTGATACTCATCCCGTACTTCTATTTATGAAGGGGAGCAAACTGTTTCCTCAGTGCGGATTCAGCAACACAGCGGTTCAAATTCTCCAGTCTTATGATATCGACTTTCACAGCGTTGATGTGCTGAGCGATGAAGCCATCCGATCTGGTGTCAAGGATTTTTCCCAGTGGCCAACAATCCCTCAACTCTATGTCGCAGGAGAATTCATTGGAGGTAGCGACATCATGATCGAACTCTACCAAACCGGAGAATTGGGAGAAATGATCGAAAAGGCGAAAGCAGACATGATGTAGATTGATCGAACTTGTAGTTGCATGCTCGAACTGGAGACACTTTGCATGCATTTCCACTCCTGGGCATGTAGAAGGACAGAGCTCACCAAAATGGCGACGGGCAGCTCATTAGTATAACCTCGTAATCTACAGTGCTAATTCATGATAATTCTTTCACATTCGATGTTTTGCCCTTACTAGTCTATTCCTCGGTTCCTTTGATGCAAGTCACCAGCCAATCGAAGCCTTCGAAAAGACCCTTTCCTTTCAATGCAGAAGTCTCCTGGATCGACCACTGCCTATTTCGAATCTCTGGTAAGCCAAGCGCGTCGCTGATTTGTTGAGCATTCATTGCACCTTTCTGATCCTGTTTGTTTGCGAATACAAGCAATATCGCGTCCTTAAGTTCCTCTTCCTCCAACATTGCAGCTAGCTCTCCCCGAGCAACTGGCATGCGTTCCGAGTCGGCACTATCGACAACAAAAATGATGGCATCTGTGTTTGGATAGTAACATCGCCAATATGGTCGAATACTCGTTTGTCCTCCTAAATCCCAAACTTGAAACTACCCACGGCCACGAGTAGATTTTAAAGGCATTCGAAGAATCATTAGATCAACAAATCGCATTTGAATTCACAGCATACCAACGCAAACTGTAGAACAATAACTTCATGAGTATAAGACCTTGTCATTGAACCGCTTACCTTTATATTCTTGTATTGTAATGTCTCAACATTGAAGCCAATGGTCGGGATTGTCTGCACTGCCTCGTCGCTCTCATTTTGCAACCGGTATAAAATTGTTGTTTTCCCAGCATTGTCGAGGCCCAAGATCAAAATGCGGACCTCTTTTGACCCAAAAAGACTTTCAAAAACTTTGCTGAACAAGATTCCCATGTTAAGATGCAATAGTGTCTATCTCGTATTCTTCTAATGGTCGACGAGATCGATGGCCCTATGGAGTTCGATTGGAAGAGTTCAATGGACTGGCCAACAATGTATGCATTCATTGGCTGTTTGTGTTCCCTCAGTCTCACATATCCACGACATTTCCGGGTACATGAACGACGTAAACTGCTCATCAGGACTACTATAGTACATACGTGGGAAAGAAAAGAGGGGAGTTTTACAAGGGGAATAGGGCATTGCCCCCTAGGCGGCAATCTGACCCCCAATCGGTTAATTTTATCGTTGAATAATAGTACTGTATGATAGAGGCTTCCTGGAAAGTAAATGTCATTACAGGTAACTATTATTCCGATGATGGGATTACAGGCAGATATTTCACCTTGATCCATCCTACACGTGCGTAGGACGATCCGAGCAAATTGGAGCCGCAAGCATCCAAAACAATGTCATTTCAAGCTGCTTCCTCTACATTATGCAACAGTCGTCGTCGCCAGTTCCAATATGCATGAGCGGGTTTATCGCTGGTATTCCCTCACCGTCCAACTCGAGGCCTGGAGCAATCACTTGAACAATTTCGATCGGTGGCTGCCCATATTTTTGAACTTCCTGCATTTGTTCCATAAGTTCTTTTTTTTCGAATAATTCACACCAATGAGTTACTCTGGTAAAACGACACGTTGCTATCGAAGAAAAAACTTACTTGTTGTGTTTGAGGGTTCCTCCTCGTATACCTTTATCAATCTTTTGAAGCTGTTGTACTGTTCGCATCGTCTGTCAATGGTCAGCCTGGTCAGCAAACAGACATCTCACCTAGCACTAACATCGCCGTTTCAAAATTCTGAGTACTCACTGTTGATACTCCTCTGTTGACAAATTCCCCTGATTCTCGTCAAGATAATCGGGGAACTGGTCGAGGACTTGTTTCATCGGTTCGTACATCAATTCCTTTGACAACAACTGCTCCATCATTCCATCTATCACAGCATCTGCATCATAATTTTCAGTACCGCCGTCTGACAACCCAAGCATTTCTCTGAGAAAGTCGTCCTCCTGATCTATATCTTCAATGCTTGTTCGATTCATCTCTTCCAAAAGACTCCCAAGCGCCTCTTCGACTGTTTGAGGCTGGTATCGTTGCTTTCCTTTTGCATCGATTTTTTTTCCTGTTCCCTTGTTCTTTTTCTTGTTGTGCTTCTTTGCCGTCTCTTGCTGAATGTCTTCGTTCATTGCCTTGGACTTTGAAGTTGAATTGTGACCTGCTTTCGAATCCAACTGGTTTCGGTAGCTTTTACTTGTCGCACTATTGCCTTCATCGTCGAGCTCATCTAATGCTTCATCAAGAACCGCATCCATTCTGCACTATTTTCTTCCGTGTAAAGCTTCAAAGTCTCCGTTTCCGTACACTACAATACTGTGGTAATATCGTCGTCGATCTATGTGTAGGTAGGACTTGAAACGGCCCATAGAGAACAGGCCCAAGGTATTGGGACTGTAGAAGCTCCTTTGGTTGGGTACAGAACTAGACCTTAGTCAAAAGGTCCACGTAAGCGCCTCTCTATAGACATCCACAATTTTCTCTGTGACTCTTCTGTGAAGGTTGGGTTATTATTCGAATAGCCAAAGGCTTTTACTGAAGAGATACACTCTGCAGAGTGGCAGCAAACTATTGCTATTGCATTTGCTACGTATTTGACTTTGTTGCATCTTGATTGAAGCGTTTGAAGTGAAAATACAGCACTATGACTTCTCTTGCAACTGACTCACCATTTACCTACGTTGAAAAAGATAGGGACATTCTCACTGAGATTGTATTCCAGACGCAAGGCCAAGGTTCCACTTTACCTTGGAAAAGGCAGCAATTTGGAACCTTTTTGCAGGATGTACATCTCATTCAAGAATCTTTGCACTCAATGGGAAATCAATGGCAACGGAGCTGCAATTGCCAACCTCAAGTTCTCGCTCTTTTGTCTACATCTTGGTGGTCAAGCCTTGAACAAATGGAATGAAATTGAAACTAGCGTGACCAATCGCACTAACGCGCAATTCAAGAATTCCGTTGACAGTTTTATCATGAAGATGTCAGCTGGCACAAATTCAAGGAACAGCGCAAGCCGTTTTCTGAAGTTGATCGCCTGCAGGAAGTCTATGAAAACTGATGTGTCCAGACACATCAGGCGACTTGAACTGTTAGAAATAAGCAAAATGTGCTCTATTGTGAGTGCTGTTGGATATATTAGGATTTTCAAAGTACATATTTGGAGAAACAAGAAAAAGAGAATACATGTGAGCAATTGAGATGTCGACTGATACGACTAAAAATGAAGACTGATGCGACTAAAAATATCGCGCGTGGCGAGTCAGAAAACAGATCATATTTCTATGGAAATCATCTTGTTGATGATGTAAGAAATCAAGATTCAAGCAAGAACCAAAGTTGGATACTAATCAAAGTACCAACTACAGTGGAAGGTGAAGGGATAAGCACATTGAACTTGCAGCATATCAGGCTGGCGTAGAGAGAATTCTGAGAATTTCCACTGAGCTGGAGAAGAAAGAGTCAAAGTCAAAAGTTGACAGATTGTTCTCACTTTTTATAATATATTGCAAGCAACGAGTGAATTGGTTGATAAAGTAGGATCTCTAACAGATCTATATACTTCTATATACTGTAAATTCACATACTTAGAAGGCAACAATACCTGGACAGCTAAATTGCAGTTAATTGAACAGGTAGATTGCAGGCGGCAGTGGATCGCTTACTTCTAACATATATTATAAAAAGTCACTGAGTCGATCTCTCCTACAACTTGAAAGAATAGGAACTGAATTGAATTGAGGGTCAACATATTCCTACGACTTGAAAGAATAGGAACTTGCTCATGATGAGTGGAGGATTTCAAAATGCTGGACAAAACAGATCACAGCAAGGCCAAAGTAATGGTCAATACAATGGAAATAAGAGTGGCAATGGTAGCCAAAAAGAGAAGAAGTTTCATCCTCTGACTAGAGGAAACATTCCCGAATTTAGCTTTGATGAAGTAAAGAAGACATTGGTGATCAAAATGTCAACAATGAAGATGGATCATATTGATGACATGATTCAGAGTGTACGAACCATGAATTTGTTCGATATTCAAAGTGTGAAGCCGACATTGGTATTGGTAACTAATGACAGCAATCCTGATAAGGAGATAAAGAATGAAGAAAGAAGAACTAATTATTTGGCTGATCAAAAGGATTGGAAGGCCAGGAAGAACGCGTTTGATAACAATAAACGCAATGTCTATGGAATGATTATGAAAATGTGTACCGATCATATGGTGGACAAGCTTGAGCGAGAAGCTGACTTTGATAACAAATTATTCAATGATCCTGTGGAGTTATTGATGCGGATCAAGATATGATACATAATGGGAATATTTTGGTCTATGGAAGACCATGAGCAATCTGATTAATTGTCATCAAAAGGAGAAGGAAAACATTGCGAGTTTTCGTAAACGATTTGAAGAAAGGGCAAAGGCATTGCAAGCTTTGCTTGGTGATGATTTTTTGGACAAATTTACTGAGAAGAGTCAGGAATATGATTTATTGGGAAGCAATGCTGAACGATTGCAACATAAGAAGGAATCATGGGAAAGATTCATGGCCAACGGATTTCTGTATATTTCCGATAGAGCCAAGTATCAATCAAGAATTGATGGAATGACGGCGCAGTACACGTTGAAGCATCTGGATTTCAAACAACGTTGTACATTTCCAACTACTTTGGAAAATGCTGCTGATGTTTTGAATCAACACAAACACGATAACAGGAAGAAGAATTCGAATGAAGGAAATTCGAATGGACAAGGCAAACAGAACAAGTCAAACAACAATCAAAATGACGGAGCTCAGTTTTTGCAACAACAAACTTGAGCGTGTTTTGTATGCAGATCAAAAGATCATGTCGCACCTCAATGTGCGGACAAATTGAAGCCGCGGGAACAGTGGAAAAACCCGGACAAATATAGGGATTATTCAAGCATGAATGGTCGTGGTAATTGACAAAATATGCAACGTGATGAGAATGCAACGTGTGATGATGAATCGAGAGATTCAAATACTCGATGGAACTATGGACGTTTCAACAATGGATCCCATGGAGGACAATTTATTCAACGAGGACATACTGACAATCATATATATAACTGATGCATTAATCGTATTAAAACTATCTCAAGTTTCTAGATTGCCGTTAACAGCTGTCATGGCCATTTACCATACAGAGGTGAGTCCAGTACTGTTGAACCAGTGTGAGGCATCCAATCCCAAGGAAGTTGCTCTCATTGGATATTACATTGCACCCTTGCACATGTAGAAACAATCTTGCCACTCGGGGCGGCGTATTTTTATTTTGTTTTTTGAGTTTTTTGAAGGGGATGGTGGGCATGATTGTGTAGCAGGTGGGAAGCCCATTGTTCTTGCGCCCTAATGCCCTGGGCGTATCGATCCAAGTGAATGGAGAGCGTCCCAATGGCACAGTGTTCAAGAGTCCGACGAGGTTATAGTGGTGTCGGTGCAAAAGAATCCCTCCAAGGCGCCCGAGTCATTGGACGAAGATGAAGACAATGATGCTGATGACACTGAAGACAGAGAGAACACTGTGGACGACGCAATGGAGGAAGATGACGATGATGAACGGGTCAATAGCGATGGGGCGAATACGCACGATGAGGCCATGGACGACAACACGCCACCGTTGACTTCCCACAACCCCACGGCAACACAAGACTCAGCAGGTACGGGGATCCTTATGGAGCCCTCGGAAACAACCCCTCCTTGCGTTCAACGTCCACCAACACTTGCCGAACGGTTTTCTAACCTCATTCAGGTGAATATAGCAGGGGTACCAGGCAAGTGTCACATCTTTGAGACTACTTTCTCTGTGGACTATCAAGGGTCGGATTCAGGAACTGTGGCGGATGCGCTCTTGTCGACAGTTCTGAATTCTATGGACGAAGCCATTAACAATTCCCCTCATGAATTGAAGCTCCTTCCACATTGTTTCACTTGGAGGATTCATGCAAAGAGAGTTGATCGCACTTTGAGGTCAATTCTACATCCAGCAACTGCAAAATCTGACTTTCCATTTGCCGCACCGGCCACCTACATCAGTGATTGGAAGTTGGCGCAACAAGGATTGCTGAGTGTCAAGGCCTACGGTCCGGTGAAGGATGCGATCCTGACCTTGATCAGTCAGTTACGGGATTACTACATTTTGACGGAGGTTCTTTATCCAGGCATCGACTTCACCGGAATGTTCAAGTTTGCTACTACACGGTTGTACGGTTCTTGCACCCTGTTCAAACTGCTCTTGTCTATTAAGGCCACTCTGGCCCAGGCTGATCAAGCTTCCACAGCTGCCAAAGACAAACCCTCTCCAGCAACTGCCAACAACGACTCATCTGAAGAGGAGGACGATGAAACTCAAGAGAGACCGGGGTCTCTATCCGGAGCATTCACGAAGGTGACAAAGAAGAAGGTGAAGAAGAAGAAGAAGTTGCCCCTTTCCAATAACCTCGAGAATCATTTTCTCAAAGATCTGTCCCCGGCACAACGCAAACTGGCTGAAGCCACGGACCGCAAACTTCAGAACAATATTGATCGCCATAAAGCAGGTCCACTCTTCTTGATGATCCTTCCAGTAGAAATGGAAGGCTCTTACATCTTTGTATGTTGCAAGAAATACGGTCAGTTGGCTCGAAACGTGTTGAAAGGGATAGTTCCGTTCTTGATTCATCACCTGTGCAAACTTACCAATACGCAAGCTGATTGAGTCTTGGGTAAATGGATTCCCAAATCAGAAATCCAGTCGACGCGTCGTAAGTTTCTGGTATGGTGCACCAACACACTACGCGCTATTGAGGCCTCCGATCAGTCGACCAAGGTGGAGGAAGCACTGGAGTTTTTGGACGATGTGATCGAAGACACCACCGATGTTTACCAAGGTCAACTCTTGATTGACATGGATATGGCGAACGCCAAGGATATTGACGATGGACAAACGGTCACGGGGATGCTTGATGAAATGCAAGAACGTGAACAACAAGTGGAAGATGCCTTTGTGGACATTTAAGCTTGTGACGCCTTGGCGGCTAAAGATCAAGCCCTGGCCCAGCAGAAGGCCGCGACTGCGGCCCTCCAAGCCCAACTTGAAGCCCTTCAACGTCAAACAGCTCACCACTTGGCAATCCACTCGCAACCACCTGTTCAAAACAATGAGGTCTCTCCAGATCGCTCCAAATTTACTACGCCACCAAAAAAGAGGAAAAGCAAGAATTCTTCCACGGTTAAGAGGAGCGTTGCCAGGTCTACGGCTGGTCTTAAGCCACCCACTAAGTCAACTCGCACCAGCACGTCTGTTCACTTTCAGCAGCCGAAGCAGCGGTCTCGGAAAAAGTCTCAGGTTCACGTGGACACTGTTAGAATAAAGCAAAATGTGCGCTGAATGCAAAAGATTTACAAACTTTCAAATGGTATATTGATGCATCATTTGCAGTTCATCCAAATGGTATATTGATGCATCATTTGCAGTTCATCCAGATTTCAGAAGTCACACTGGAGGTGTATTGACTATGGGTGAAGGAGGATTACAGATAATCTCTAAGAAGCAGAAGTTGAACAGTTGAAGTTCGACAGAAGCCGAATTGATTGGTGTCAATGATGCTGCGACACAGATATTGTGGACAAAATTGTTTGTGGAAGCACAAGGTTATCCTGTTGAAGAGAACATCCTATACCAGGATAACAAGAGTTCTATTCTATTGGAAAAGAATGGACGTGATAGTGCTGGAAAGCGAAGCCGAGCTTTGAACATTCGATATTTCTTTATGACTGATCAAGTCAAGAAAGGAAATGTGACTATTGAATATTGTCCAACTGAAAAGATGTGGGGAGATTTCATGAGCAAACCTCTACAGGGACAAAAGTTCTTGGAATTCAGATCATTGATCCAAGGAGAACAAGATTAGGAGCAACGCAATTTCCTTTGATGTTCCGTTGTCATCAACTATGTTAATGAAACGGCAGGAGTGTGTTGGATATATTAGGATTTTTTAAGTACATATTTGGAGAAACGAGAAAAAGAGAATGCATGTGAACGGTAGAGAAAAGATGTCGACTGATACGACTTAAAAAGAAGACTGATGCGACTAAAAACATTGCGCATGGCGAGTCAGAAAACGGATTATATTTCTATGGAAATCATCCTGTTGATGATGCAAGCAAGCAAGATTCAAGCAAGAGCCAAAGTTGGATACTAATCAAAGTACCGACTACAGTGGAAGGTGAACGGATAAACAGATTGAACTTGCAGCATATCAGGGATATTCCGAAAAAACAAAAATACAAAAACAACACACATCTCCGGGTCCTCCAAACATCACTTTCGGTACTTCGCCTACACGAATTTTCTGTAGCGAAACGAAACTCGCTCCTCCTTTTTGCATCAAAACTGACAATGGGAAAGTCGAAGAACAACAAGAAAGTGGCAATTGCTGCTAAACCTGTTAATTCTACTGCTCTTACTCAGGGTCGCATCAGTTTTTCGCAAAAAAGCCGAGCCGAAACCGCCGAAATTCGATCGAAAAAGGAATCCGACGATTTGGACCCTCCAATCGTCAACAACAACAGCGACACCGAGATGGAGGAGGTCGAGAATCCACGGAAGTACGATCGCATTGTCCAGAACATCGATTCGTCTCAGTGGAACCTGCAAACTCTTGCCTATCTCTGCACAATCCACCGTGCTCGTGGTCAACGCAACAATAAAAAAGAAGTGGTCTTTGGCAATGAGCTGTTCTCGGCATGGGAGAACGAGCCCGATTTCCACTGGCCTTGGTGCGAAGGGTATTCTGAAAATTTCGTAGACCCTCCGGCGACTGAATCCTGGGAGGAAGCAGCCGAGAAGCTACTACAGATTTGTGATGGGGATTGGAACTTGGTCGAGCAACGCATTCGAGCTGCGCTTGACCGAGACATCAAGGACGAATTTATTGGGAACGATCGTGAGCTAGTGGTATATGTACGCGGATTAATTCTCGGTCTGGCGGTCCAGGATCCTTTGGTGATTTTTCCTTTGGACGAACAGTTGGAGGACTCTACGTTTTTTAATCGGTATTGGGATTTTACCTCGGAGGTTGAGCCCCGTCTACTATTGGA